AGGTCTGCTGTGTGGGTATTGGGCCATGGTATAGAAGATCTTGAAATAGGAGAAGGTACTCTTGAAGTAGGAGGGATACTAGGAGCTTTGCCTGCTAGTCCTCCACAAGATTTTCTGAGAGCAAGAGGAAGAGAGGACAAATGACAGAAGGTTGTGGAGTTATTATCCCCTAAGATATCTATTGGTTCCCCTTAGGTTATCTATTTAGGAGGTTGAGATATTCTTTTCGCTCATTTGTATGTTTCTTCTTTCACTTATGACTAAGCTAAAAAGCTCAAATTTTCAGAGGATTGCATTAGTATAGATATGCAGTAAGGAGGTAGATAGAGAGCCTTGGTAATAAGAAGATCTCAGAATATACTGTTAGGCAGAAATGATCTGTATAGACTCAGAATTATCTAGGTCAATCGAGATTCATTTTATAGAGAGAGATTTGTCTAAAAAGACTCAAAGAATTACACATTTCGTTTATGACTACTAAGAGTAAGGTAAAGTAGAATAGAATTGTAAAACCAATATTATCTTATTAAAGTCTCTTATCCATCACTTGATAATATCTAAATGCTTAGAAGAGACTACGATATTTATATTCTATGTCTGAGTGTTAGCAGACTACATCTATCTCTTATACAAATTATGTACCTCTCTAACTATTACTTGCAATGTCAGGTATTCTCCAAAAGTGCGAATACTGGAAGGCCCTGAAAACTATCATACTCTTGTTTGGTAATTTACTATTTTGCCAGTTTTGGGAACTGTACTGTTTTCAATAGTAATTATCCAATATTCAGAATTCTTAGACTTATGGCCTAGTTCTCAAGTGGAACTATATTGGCCCCAAATGTCTCCCTTATTGATAAAATGTTCAGTTTCATCCACAGGTTGTGTCTGTATCAGTAGTCATATGTGCAACCTTCATAGGTTGCCAACTTTAAACCTCCAATACTCCTGATCCAACCTACAAATATCTTCCTGATAACTTCCTACTGATTCATTGAAAGCCATTCTACAAGATTGGAAGATAATCCCATGGTTGACCACTCTTAGTTGTCCTAAGTATTATGGCTTTAGTTGTTATCTAGTATTGGTGATAATTCCCTCAACTACAATGCATTCCTTGACCTAGTTGTAACACTCTGAGAAGTCTATTGGCTTCTTCGGTAGTGCTTCTTAAGAATTCTAAACTCTTTTAGTTAGTGTATAGTAGATAAGAATGTGTTGAATCTTCATAAAGCTCCTCCAATATTCAAAATCATATCTTTGTACGAAAACATCCTGTTACCTACAGCACATGTTAAAGATAATCTATCTTTGAAGCCGAGTGGCTCTCTGGACAGTTGACAGATTTATTCTGTTCCACCTTGCAGACCTAGCCAAAGGTCTCTTTCTATGTATCCTGTGAACAGGAACCTGTCAGATAGACAGTAGTGACCTATATAGTGTTATTCTGACACTTTCAATTCTGTGGCATAATAGTTACAGGATACAACTAAGATAGATATGTATGATCACATGCACGCCCTGTAAGGGGGTTAGAAGAGAGTGTTGGAGACCACAGATTCAGATTCCAAGAAGGGATTACTCTACTTAAGATGGTTCCTAGATATCAGATCCCGGTACTCCTACTATACTACTGATGTCTTGATTGAATATAATCCTACTACCTATATGAATGATAATCTTTTCGAAAATACATTAAAAATCACCTTATCTCTGTCCTAGGTGGCTGACTAATCCTCTTTATCCTCAATTCAATGGGTTTCTATAAAAATTCAGCCATTTTCCAACTTTTCTCTAAAACAACAATATCATCCCCTCCCTCATCCCACCTAATTATACAAATCTTCTCCAGCCCCTTGATGTCTCTATCAATAATCCACTTAAGAAACTAGTATGATAAAAGTCCTAACCAGCCAGAAAATCTTTGATTTAGAGTCTGTAGCTGATTTTGAAAGATGGAGTGTGGCTAACCACTCGGTCCTAACTACTACTCACAGTGTTGGAGTATCTTTTTACCAATTTCATTCTACAGAACTTAATCTAATTTTACTTTCTTTTTGCAAGACAGGTCTTTTGCTTCCTATTGATGGGAAGTCAGATTTTGAGTTAGATATCAAGAAATATATAAATTTGGAAATTAGAAATTGGAGAAAAGATTTTGTTTAAGAAGATAATAGAGCAAATGTACAAGATACAAATTATGAGCTTATAGAATTTGTGGAAAATTAAAATAAATACTATATACCAAACTCTTAGATAGCAGGCTATTTGCCCCCCCCCCTCTGGCATCATGGCCACCTAAATGCCTATATATAAAATCATCATACCCTAGTCTAAACCTGCCAAGATATCTACTTGTCTCAGGCAAGAAGTACCCGAACACAGGAGGGGTAAACACCCTTGTGGCACAGGGTGAGATAAGGGGTATCGGAAGAGGAAAACAGGGGGGTTAATTGGCTATTCGAGAACTCATATAGGCCAAATTAGAATCTTTAAAGATAAGAAACATTGATGATCGTGAGATTTTTGTAACATATATACCTAAATTAGGAGAAAATATAATAAGAAAAAAAGAAAAGAAAAAAAAGCTACCCGTACATATGTCTACCACCAGCTGCAATGACAGCCTCAATTTGCTCAGGCATTGAGTCTACTAATGCCAGAATATCCTCCTCCAGGATCTGGTGCCATTCTTGCACAACTGCCTCCAATATCTGCTCCATATTTGCAGGATAAGGACATCACTTGTTGAGCTTATCTTTCAGCATATGCCAGTCATGCTTAATGGGGTTAAGGTCTAAGAAACGGGGTGGCCAATTCATCTTTGGCATATGGTAGGCCTCCTGGATTCTGGTAGTGTAATTTACCCTATGTACCACTGCCCCATTCTCCATAATTGTTAGTAGACTTCCAGCCTAGTGACTTTCCCAATACCAGAATGGCCAGAGAACTGGGGTAAGAACATTAGTAACATAACTGTTAGCAGTTATAGTACTCCAGTCCTCCCTATTCCAAAGCACAAGAGGGGTTTTTTTGCCCCCAAGAATCCCTCCCCATATCATTATGGTTTTCTCTTTGGGAAACTTGGATGCAATGCAATCCTCCTTGTATTCTTCCCCCAGGCGCTGAGTCACCCAAGTGGTACTGTGGGGGCCAGTCATCCAGACATAATATTCATTAGTCCAGATAACTCAGCACCAATCCTCCCTTGTCCAGCCAAAATGTTGGAGAGCAAAATTTAAGCGTAATTGCTTAGTACACTCATCCAAGAACGGCTTCTTTCTTGCCTTCCGCTGAGCATACCCTTCGAGTGAAAATGCCTTGCGCAAGGTCTTTTCACTAGCCTGAATGCCACAGATCTCAGCGACTTCAGAGTAGGTTAGGCAGCAGTTGGCAGCAGACATTGTCGCTGTAGCAACAAGTCGCCACCAGGTTGGAGTATCGATAGAGAAGGGCCGGCCTTTTCTCTCTTTCGGGGTGGCCGGTGCCTGGCATATGTCGTGGACTCTGTTGAGAGCAAGATTTAGTTCTGCTACAATCTCTCTATAGGTCCAGCCAGCTCAGTAACACAGGGCCTGGACAAAACACCATTTTTTATATGATGTATCAGAAGGCATCTCTATTCTGGTAAGTCTAACTTCTTTATTTATATTTACACTGAATAATACTTACTATTTTGTATACGGGAAGTAACTTTGGTACTGGGAATTGGGGTTCTGGAAGGGAAGACCGAGATATCACTTGGCCGGACCGGGGAAGAATAGTGGATAGGAATTCATAGGTCAATTATGCTGGGATTGCTAACTTTTAACTAGGTACACGGGCCTTCTACCGCTCTCTTACACCCCTGAAAGCTCCCTGAAAATATCCCTGAAATATCCCTGAAATATCCCTGTTTTCCTCCTAAATGTTCGGGTACTTCTTGCCTGTAGCAAGTAGCTCTACTGTATCATATGTTAAGCATCAGGGTTCTGATCCCATCCGGCTCCAGTTACCACAGGGACATTCTAGCCATGTATGATATAAAATCCCAACGGGGCATTAGTCCCCCACCTGGCTCTGATCCCCATCCGGCTCCACATTAGTCCCCACGGGGATTGCCGGCCATTCCGAACAGTGCTCCACCATACGAGTACTCGAGTAAACTATCATGAAGTGCAAGAAGACTAAAACATGCACCGTACCCACGCCAAATATGCGGCTCATTAATTGGTCAAGGCAATGAGTTGCTCTCTATGATTGCGGTATATCCCCGTATATCCTCGTATATCCCAATACCTTATGATCTATTATATCCGCACTGTCTGTCAGTACTATACTGTGAGCAAGATCCCGCATGCGATCGCCCGATACTTTGTAAAGTGGTGACGTTTGTAAAAACGGACTGCTGTTGCAAACCATTAAAATTCTGAGGCTCTGGCCAATCCTTCTCTGGGTAATGCAACAGCAGTCCGTTTTACAAACGTCGCGTCATTTCCTCCTGCATGCACAGTAGAGTGGTAAGCCCGCCTAGGCAAAGAAAATCAATACTCGTACAAGTTACGGCAAACAATATTATAAAGTATATGTTCCTCCTATCCCATTGAAGTATGATACAGGCCCCAGTTTTCTTCTCCCCATTACAGCCAACTAACCGACCGATTGTCAGGAATCAGCAGTCATTCGCCATCACTCGAACATACGTTACACAAAATTTCAGGCCTCCCTCACAACCCCTTACAGTCAGTCATATGCTCCGCACCACATGTGTCTAGGAGATTGGGACAACGCACTGCGAGGGATTATGATAGGGGCAGTTTTTTTTTAAGCGAACTCGACTTTGACGACGACGAAGCCAGGACGCTCAAGTTCTATATAACCTGAACTGCCCCCGAGTATCATACCTTCAGCTCACTGTGCCCTCGAAACACCTACCACACCATACCTCCCGCCACGGATAAGCGCATACACACATACCCACAAATTCGATCAAGTTCCCCAAACCTTCAATTCCTCAAAACATGAAGCTCCAAAACCTCCTCCTCCCCATGTCCTTTGCTACCGTCGCGCTCGCTGGCCCGATTTCCTACGGTATCTGTCAGAGCGGCTGTGCTGCCGTTGTCTGCGTGTGCTACTCCGCTGCTGGGGCGGTCTTCGGGACGGTTCCTGCGGCCGCGGCGGCTGCTATGCCAGCCCTCGCAGCATGCAACGGTGCCTTTGGTACATGCTCAGCGACTTGCGCGGGTGTTACACTCTTGGCGCCGATTCCCTAGGTTTGGGCCGCGCTTTCATTCTTTCTGAGGTGCTGCTAACAAATCCTTAGATCGGGTAGGGTGACGCATTCAGTGAACTGGCTTTTTTTGTAAATGGGTGAAGCTGAGGTGGCTCGGCTGTGGGTGGTGGTGGTGGTGATTTTCTAATTTGAGGAGGATACCGGATTTGGAATTTAATTTTCTGTCATTAATAGTGATTTTTTTTTTTTCTGCCCCAATTGAAACGTATTATGATATAAATCCAGACACAGTACAGTACCAACATCGAGATTTCTCTTCCAATTCCCTTACCTATTCTATCCCAAACAGTCACAGGGGGCGAATCTCCACATGAATCGCTCCCTTGGAGAACCAAAGCCCCTCCTTGCTTCTGGCCAACCCCAATTAATGGCAAGCTCCTAGTGGAGAAGATATAAAACCGTAGGCCTATCACCTCCCAGCGGTCTTTATGATAAGCACGAGGAAAGCGACCAGATCGCAAGATTCCCATACCCCCATCAGCCCAATCACTCCTCAGGGGTTATGTGCACGCAGGTGCACAACCGCGATCCAGATCTACCCCTAATGAGTGAGTCATAATCTTCCTTGTTGTGCTTTTACAGTGCATCCCAATAGCGGCTAAGTTGCCCCGATACTGGAAAGTAGTTTGAACAAATCCAGTGTTCTAGCCCTCTGCGATTATCGCTGAAGCAATGAGAAGCAACGCTATACAAATGTTAGGCAAAATACCAACTCCCTTTCCACAAGCAAATAGCCAGAGAAATCAGGCCAGAAAACCCACAAATGAGGGGAAGGGAAAAAAATAAACAAAGAAGCCGACTCTAAATCTCAAAATGAAGGGAGAGCGGAGGGAGGGTGCAAATTCAACTCAATGAACACCTCCACTTTCCCACATAGGTATCATAGCAGCCTAAGCCATCACTCACCCTTTCCTCCCTCGCCGCCAAAAAGGCAACCCCGGTGACGCCTTCGTTCCTCCCATCCAACAGGCATGGAGAGTCACTTGATATAATGTGGGAGGGAAAATCCCGCCCCCGAGAGGCGCCCAGCTACCATTCCATCATCGCTGCCCATTTCACCCCTTTAGTATAGCCCCAACCCAGGAAGCCCCACAATACTAAAGCCCCACCCTCCACCCCCCTTCTGTACTCAAAGTATCATAAAAAAACGCACCCCACCATCCCCTGCAGCCCGCACCAACATCCGTTCTCATGGCAATCCCGCAATTGTGGAAGTTTTTCGCCTTCTAGCTGGTGGGTTTTCGTTTCGCCGTCAGGAGGCCGAAACGTATCACTCTCTCAAACTTGCTCAAAGACCTAGTCGAATGATATCTTGTGAATATGATTTGCTCTGTTTTACCTGACTCCTTGGCTATGCCTGCCCAAAAAATACTTACCATCGTATCAAAGCCGCAGCACCCCCTCCGGTGTCTTCCTCCCCCGCGGTAAAATAAAAATAAAAACCCACAACAAAGAGATCCGCATTCCGCCAAACTAGACAAGGAGCTCAACTAAGGGACCCTTCATGTGGTCGGTGAACCAGGTCCAAGGAATTTCACACATGGTTCCGGACGCCGGAAATCAAGCCTCTGCGCATCACCCGCCCGATGGCTAAGCCAGAAGAAAGAAAAAATTCCCCTGCAGAAATCGCGAACTCGAACCGAACAATCTGGAGGGATGTAAATCAATATCATACCACGGCGTGCCGTGACCTTACAATAGCACCACTGCCAGAATTTATGCCCCGTTTGGCGCGCCGCCGTGTGTGAACAAAATGCCGTTTTTCAGAAAGAAGTCACAGTTCGGTATACCAGTACAGTACAAATGGCATCTTTGTCGCAAACGAAATGTTTTCAGACATTGAGTTCTTTTAGCTATAGCTCAACGCACAAGCCTCCCGCAGGATTCCCGCCTCCATCACTAACGGTCGCAATGGCAGTTGTTATCTGGATATCGGGGGGGGGGTTTCAAAGGGATTTGAGTTTTTATCAAAAATTGCGGTTTTTTTTTTTTTCTTTGCCTAGCGGTATGGCAAACAGGCACCCAAATATTAAAAAAAAAAAAGACGTTTCTCGAGTGTTCCAAATGGGGCTCCAATTCCAGTTAAAACAGGGAATCCCATTGATCAAAGAGCATAAGGAAACAAAATTCGATATCCAGATAGTAGCCGCCATTCCGACCACTGCAATGAAAACAAAAATCCAGTGGGAGGCCCATAAGTTGAGCGATAATTTTACTGCAACAATAAATGCCACAAAAAAGTCCAGAAAATGACATTTTTCTGGTCTTCCAAACAGTGCCCGAAAATATACAATAATATTATATAATAATATATAAGTTATCTTTAGTCCTAATAATTACCAAGTCCCTATACTCTAAGCCCTAAGCACTCATCCAACAATACCCATATTTGCAATTCCCCCACTCTTTTGCTATGATATTATGATACGCGCATCTTCTCCACCCTCCCCCACATACTCGAGTAAGATGTCCCTCGGTTTAAATCAATATCCCCGCTCCAGCTACAGCCTGCCCACCTACTTTTAGGGCCCGTTTGGCGGGAACGGAAGGTGGGTCGACCGTCCCCGTTTCGCAACGATTTGCCTGTAGAAAATGTGTACGATACGAGTACACCTGAGACTGTTTGGATTAACCAATCAACCCTTCGTTGCTATAGTAACCGCCCTATTAACCCAACTTGCAATTTACCAAGCCAAGCCAATCTGTTTTGACAACGGAACCGTTGACAGGTTTTCAAATTTGCCAAACGCCAGTTCAGTTCAGCTATTTGGGAATGGAAGGCGAACGGTCATTCGTATGAGGGAACGGAACAGAGCGGTCGTATCCAAACAAGCCCTTAATCTTACAGAATACAGACAACCACAGTGCAAAAAAAAAAAACTTTACAGAGGCTCGGCTTTAATCGGAGCCGTTGCTTATGGCCAACCTTTTTTTCTCGGAGGTCTCTGTGGTTGCCGTGACCGACATCGAAGGTTGATTTCCAAGTTTCCGGAGCCATCCGGGAATATCTCTCAGGGTCCAGTTCCCCCCCAGTAATGTAGTACAAAAAAGTACGAGTAGGTGTGAGGACGAACATCAAAAAGCAATAGAGTCAAAGCACTTTACTATAGTACCACACAGTCTGCACTTTATTAACATCCCCGAAGTCACCCGGAAAAATTCGGGAGTAATATATTAGGGCAAAAAAACTTGATAATTCTCATGGAGAGAGGGTGGTTGCCAGAGAATGCTTTCTTTTTTTCTTCTTCCTTGAACGCCTGCTATGATATGATATTGTACAGTAGTCTACGTCAGCCCCAGATCGGGGAGTCGAACTCCCAAACCTTCCCTGTAAACTCTTGTACTGTATGATAGCGACTGGTTCACCATAATCCTCTACTTATTTTAGAAATCCAACACCGAAGGGGAACACACCCGCCTTTTATAGCTCTCGGTGGAAATTTAAATTTTTTCTTGGATCCCCCAACTCCCATCATCTACTCGGCTTATCAAGGAAGAGCTGAACCTAGTGTGCAAGATACCGACAGAGTAATCACGAGACCACGAGGAAGGTGTATACAATTTACCTTGCCATACTTCATTCTCTCCTACCTTTCAATGTTGACTTTATACAAGCCTAGGACCCTCGGAGTAAGCTTGCCGCTAGTAAGTGATAAGGTCTCGACAAAGGTTCCGTTCCGCCCGGCCCGCAGGCTGAAGGAGTTGCAGTGGAAGGAAGAACGTAATCTGAGCTGGTTGGACAAATTTTAATTATAGTAAATCTATGATGCAAGTCAAGATCAAGTTTCCGAGACATTGCTCAATGGATTAGAGTTTGAACCACCCAAAAGGAGGCCTCGTATGGCGTGCAGCCAGGCACCTACCTTATACAAACGTTATATCACTGCGCTTAAGGAGTCCCCATTTCAACTCATGAGCATGGGGTCAGCACAAGTTCAAACTCTCTAACAACCCTTACCGGCTAAGCTTGCGAGTACCATAAACATCCTGGATTCTTTCCGGTGAGCAAGCAACCACCAGTACACCATTTTGACCAAGCTTCCCCGCAACCTGGATACCTACTGCATACTGTACTCGAGTACACTGGGTGCTTAGGCTATAGACATCCCTCAATCAATCGATCCATATTCAGAAGGTTCTGCGGGGATCTGGGGGTAAACTTTTCCAAGCCACATGACTTGCTAAGTCTACCAGGCTATAGTGAGAAGTATCATACCCCATTGTGGCTAGTGATGCAGCTCACCATGCTCTCGTGCTATCTGTCTAGGTCCCAAGTTTGATTGGGAGGCAACCCCATCACTACCAGGTGCAATATGATATAAGTCACAGGGCGCACATGTGCCCCAAGAAAGGCTTTTAACTGGCGTACTATCCTGCCCCGTGAGCCAGGGCATCCAAGCGTCGCGGGCGAGCGGTAGTGCTAGTCCTGACTGGGTTTGAATCTTACCAACAGTGTGCGGGAGTCACCCTCGATCACCTATAGGTACCTACTGTCGCCTGCAGCTATCATAATATTATCACAACTGCAGTTGACATTAGTCAGGACATCTGCGGAGACACCTACAGGGCCCTGGCGTCCGTCCCGGGCAGATCTTAGGGCGGACGCCGCCACTACCGTCCGTCACGGGCACAGTTCTTCAATGATACCGTCCGCCCCACCTTCGGGTGGGGACTGACTGACTGGACTATTGGGTGCACTGCTTAAGGGCGCATTTGGATACGACCATTCCGTTCCGTTGCCACCTACAAAGTGACCGTTTCAAAACAGGAGTGTGAGTGTTTTTGTATGTGAAACGGTCGCAAAACGAAACGGAACCGTTGTATCCAAACGCACCCCTATAAGAGTTATGGCATATATCAGGGCAAAAGAAGTATGATAGGAATCGCCAGTTTCTTTGCCTCCTCTACTATTCCTTCCGGATTGCATGATAGCTGAGTTCACTCAGCCGTTCTGCCGAGCAAGTGAATGGATTGTCGGGTACTAACATGACGCCGCATCTGCTGAGATGCTTAACAGATATAGTGGTAGGCATCGCAATGATGGCCATGCGCTATATGTAGCTGAACTCCCTATTCCGGAAAGGGGCCGAAAAACACTGCGAAAGCGAGCTGTCCAACCCTCTGAGACACAAAAAAAATTCGTAAAGCCTTACCAGAGGATGCGACCCCGGCCTCATAGCACATTGCCTGGCTATCAGAGCTTATAGAGTATGCAAACCCATCAGCTCAGCCACAGAAGCACAGCAGTACGCATAAGTTCCTATGTAATTTCTTCAAGCTCGGATGACCAAACACTGAACTCGATCCAGAACACAAATCCCGAGCTCGTGGTCTACTACAACATAAGAGCTGGAAAACGAAAACATACGATGCTACGAAAATATCATTGACAACCGCTGTGTTAAAAGTCTTAGATAAACTACCTAACACCGTCCACTCCGCAGTGCGATGCGCCAAAACCCATCATTGGTTTTGTCCTCACCCCCCAAGAACCACCACCAGTTCATCCTATGTAGAAAATATCCAAACTGAATTCTACCGAATCCACCGAGAAATAAAAACCATGAACTTCCCACACTAGTATAGACCTCCAAACATTCATTCCAGAACCGACCCAGCACTCGATAAACGCACCAAAAGTATCCACGTAGTACAAATTCACTATAAGAATGTCAGATTCCAAACAATCCTTTGATATGGCAAGATGGCCGAGTTGGTTATGGCGCCAGGTTAAGGTTATCTTAACACGTATCCTGGTTCGGGAAACTGAGCGTGGGTTCAAGTCCCACTCTTGTCACAACTTTTTTTTATTTCTTTCCCCGTTCCCCCCATTTACAGTACCTCTACCCCCCCCCCGTTTCGTCTTGTTTAGTTTGCACTTATTTATCCCACTTTCTCGCACATACCGGCCAATAGCGGTGTTCTCTCCCTCCGCTATGCGCACTCTGTCTAGCCCCGGCGATCCTACACCGATATCGATAAATTTACCGGCGCCGCCAGTAAGCAAGCAAGCAAGGCACCGACAGCGAAGGCAGATAGGCTAGGTAAGACTACCGTAGATATAATATCCCTTCACACATGATCGCGATCAACCAGACCGCATAAACAACCAGCCAAACAAACAAGCCAAACAAAAACAGATGGCGGATCTATCTTTTTTTTTTTTTTTTTTTTTCTTCTATCGCAATTACACGATCAAAAAAGCACATTGCCACACCGTAGCATCCCCTACCCATCCAACCAAAACAGCCACAAAATCGATAATAATAATAATACCCGCCGCCAAACCTTCTAGACCCTTCATCAAAAAAAAAAAAAAAACCTCCCCCGTAGCCTCAAATCGCCCTACAGTACATCCACCACCCACTACGACACCGTGCTCACCCAGCAAGCAAACCAGCCCGACCAACCACGAAGTGCGGGTAGGAAAATGAGAACCATCCCACTCCCAAAATATCCCTCAGTCACCACCATCCATCGCCACCTCCGGCGCCGGCCTAGACCGAGTGATCACGCATGACACCTCCGCAGAGCCCCCCCACAAACACACACACACTCTCTCTCTCTTTCTCTCCCTCTCCCCCTTCAAGGCAGCGAATCCCGAGAGAGAGAGAGAGCGTTGGAAACGGGACCAGCCTTGATTTTGTAGACTGGCAAGATTGATAAGAGGTAGTGGAGATATGGTGGTGATGGTGGGATGATCATTGTGTAACCGGTTGCTTGTATTCATTTATTATGGTTGCGGGTATTTAGTCTGGTTTGACCCGGTTGGTTGGCGATGCATTGTGCTCGAGTATCATACTCGAGTATGATGCTCGTACTGTGCAGTAAGCGCTGGTGCTGCTGGGTTAGGTTGGGTTGACAAACTATTGGATGGAGGCGGCGGCGCATATCGTGTGAGGTATTTGGCTGGCCGGCCCGCTGAATGGGTGGGCTTGACACGGTTCAGTCGGACCTAAGTTGGTTGTTGGGCTGCGCCCGCTGGGTATTGTGTTGACTGGGTTTTGGGAGGTATGTGGTGGCGGCTGCAGTCACAAGTGCTCAAGGAGAGCAAGCGCCGGTAATACGGTATCATACTATACGAGTAGTTGTTGATCAGAAGGAAAGAAAACGCAGGGCGAGAATTCAAGTTTCGTAGACCATGCACGGCAAGTCCGCTTCTCAACCGAATAACTGCACCGGGGGGGTAATCCGGATATTTACAATACAATTCCGATAACGAAGATGAAGACCATGAAAATGATGATAACAAAGGACGAAAAAATTCCAAACAAACCTAACCTGGCCTGACCTTAAAATGATATAAAACACCGCCATTCCCTAAACTTGAATATATAAAAATTTATAAAAAAACCAAAACACAAAATGTCCAACACCATGATAAAGAAATGGAAATGAAACGGAAATAACAAAAATCCTATACAAAGAGATGGTATCTTTACAAAAGAAATCTTAATCAAGCATAGACAGAGAATAAAACAAACCTGGAGGTAAGTCTTTTTCCCGAATCGATAAAAAAATAAAAAATAAACACCAAACACCCGTTTCTCTAGAGTGCTGTTAAGAAATGGGTATGAAATACAAGTCCGAACACCGATAAATACAGGATGATGATGATGACGATGACGATGATGATGATAAAGGTGACGCCGTTGATGGGGAGTGTGGCAGATATGGGGGCGGGGGGTGAGAACAAAGGAGATGCCGAAGATGGTAATTGATCAATTGCCCGCCGGACGGGGAAAATAAAGAAGAAAAAGAAACCCGGAGATTTGACGGTGGTGATGGTGGTGATGATGGTGATGATGGTGCCGGTTCGGTACGGAGGGGTATTATACAAGGGGGTTCATGTAGCTCGTTCGGATCGTGGGAATCATAATAGCGTGAGGGAGGGAGTGAGGTATATTACGGTTGAAATGCTACAACCACAAACATTAGTGTCATGTACTCAAAAAAACAAACAACCTCCCCAAGGAATTCAGTTTAAGCATACCGAAATGAAGAGAAAAGGGAAGAAACGATGATAAAAAAACCACCGTTTACCGATCTTTCTCGTAATCCCCATTAACCGAAGAACTCGCACTCGAACTCTTGGCCTTGAAAATCCTCCCCCACAATGCAGTAACCCATCCATTTCGCTCCTCCTGGATCCTTCTCCTGTTCTCCAGCTCATCCTCGCCCTCGCCCTCCTCCACCTCGTCATCATCTTCGTCGTCATTCATGTCCGAGAAGCTGGGCTGTGGGAAAAACACCCAGTTGTCGTCCGACGTCGGTTGCAACATGAATGTTGTTGTGTTTGATGATTTTTCCGATGATCGGCGGGAGATTGTAGCCGGTGATGAGGCTGATCTCTGCAGTTCTTGCGGCATCTTTTGTTTTCTTTTCGTATTTACGTGTCGTGCGAGTATTTTTATCGGCAGCGAGGGTGTTTGCGATGTGGTTTAAGTAGCAGTGTTTGTGCGCGACAGCAGTTGATATTTCGTGAGGATAAATACCTGTAATTGCTGTCGTTGATGATCGTTGTTGTGTGGGTTGGGTAAGGGTGTCAGAGAGGGGGGTGGGTGGGTGGTCGCTGGGGTTAAATAATATTCTTGTTTGTTTTCGCAACTATCGAAGTGCACTGCAGAAGCCGAGGGAAAAAAAGAAAGAAAGGGAAAGAGAAGAAGAAAACCCTGCGGGGTCGTGGGAAAGGTCCAAAGATTTAATAGCAAAACACAGTACACACGCTGGCAAGTAACAGTGTTGCAAAACTCATGAGACTGACTTCTCCTCTCTCCCCCATACCGCACTGCAAGGAACCGCAATACAGTAACGGAGGAAGCCCACTGCTACGTGTCGTGCTCTCAGACTTCTTGAAAAAGTTGCCTCTACGAGTAGGTTGCGGAGGGTTACGAATTGGTAGTGGGTTAGGGTGGGTGTAGGGGACATTCCATTCACTGGAGTGAGTATTTCTGCGAGAAAGGGAGAAAGATATAAAAAAAATATGACGATCCAATTGTCGCTCGCCGCGTGCACGTCCCCGTCACTTTGCGGTGTGACGAGAGACACCTTGGTCGGGTCCGGGTAACAGAAGTTGGGACTTTAACTCCAGGAATGGGGAGAGGTCAACCTCCTCACGAATTATGCAAAAAAGTAAAGGCAAAACAAAGGGGTTATCCTTTTGTCATACTTTCTTCTCAATATCCCCCCCCACATTTCAACCGTTGACTTTAGAGATCCATTCGTCATAGTGGCATGTCCAGCTGTGCCTCCTCTGTTTTTTGCTTGTTTTCTAATCGGACACGCTAGCGCGTGGCCATTTGTACTCGTACAAGTACCATACAGTAATTTTTATCCTTCGTGAGAAGAAAAGAAATAGCACAGGACTTTTTGTAAAACTACCGTATGTATCATAGAATACGGTTCGACACGATAAGGGAAAGTGATCCGCTAGCAAGCAGTCGGATAGGTACTGTACAGTAGACTATGTTCCCACTCCTGAGCTCCCACAATAAACAAAAACGGGATGAACCTCCTCTCTTTGGTGAACAACCCCCACGCACCGACCGTCATCCGCACTGCAAATGAGCCAACACTTCTAGTGGATGGAATTAGCGGTCTCACTCCATTGGAGAATTGCCATTTAGCAGAGATGAATGATGCCTGCTATATTGACCGCATCTCGAACCAGTGCGGTATCCATAAGCTCCACCAAAGTGACTCAAGAAGGGCATCGATGACCGCCGCTCTTCCAATGATAAAAAGAGTTTCGGTACAGTACCACCTCCGAATACGGCAGTTCCTCACACTCCCCCCCCTCACCAATGGGCTTCCAACGGGGCAAATTCGGGTTCAACGCCTTCGTCTTCCTTACTGCATGCCTGGTTGCTCGATAATGACTTGAATGAGGACGATAATCATCGAGGCATTTCCAGCACCTGCCCGAACATACGAGCGGGAGCAGGCCATCTTCATCCATTCCTCCGTTCCTTTATTGCCGTTTCGCATGATATTATTGCATCGCACCTGCGCGACGGTCGCAGAAACCCTCCGCTTCATTAATAATACCGCGGCGAGTGACTTCCCATGCACAAATCTACTCCCTCAACGCGTCACCCATAACCGCACCAAACCCACAGCTTCCAAAGTGCAAAACTCCGCATCGCCACGAGAACCACTGCATGAGGTCCCCATCCATCCATCCATCCCAAGAGTTCAAAGAAATGCTAAAAAACCTCGATAACCAATCCATATCTTAACCCTCCCCCCCCCAAGGACGAGGAAATGTATGATAAGATAAACCGTCAGATGACCCCGTCAAAAGTGAACTTTTTCCTCACGGAAAAGGTGAGCTGCAGGAAATGTTCCCGCAACCCACCATGATAAGTTAAGCAAGTACGAGTAATCCACAATTCGGGTAGCCTCCGGCCGAATGGAATAAAAACCCCACACCCGCCCCCTCATCTGATGCTTGATGCGATTGGTATGGCCAACTTTCTGCTTCGCAGGTCTTAAGTTAACTACTGCAATGTAGGAGTTAGAGTACAGCGACGTACAGTAAGTTATGTTCCTAATTCCCACCCTCCCACCCTTCCTCTACCCCACCACGTCTTCAGGTTACTGGAGTATCTTTCTCACCCTCTCTCACTCTCTGCCTTGTCTTTTGCGCCCTCGTGGCAAAGTGTGTGGAGGGGAGTTCTGCGGGCATGAACCCTTTTTCGTGACCTGTTGCTACGGTAACGCATGGTAGTGAGGGGAAGCGGTTAGGGTAACCGTGAGCAGATCAACACTTTTGAACGTTTCACACTAAGACAAACACGTATCATGGTTTTTTGTGTTAACCTACTGCTTGTTCAGGACTGTGCGTGCTGCGACGTCTGCCAGCTAGCAAACACCACAGGTACAACGCAGTATAAACCCAAATCCAACACCAACGGTGCGGTGCGGTAATCTACCCTGGGGTGTGATGGCTTACATCTCGCAGAGACAACAAGCAACAACTGGGCCTCGAAGTATCCCACACCTGTAAGGAAGGCAGATAGGTACATCTCAGAACTTCGTTGGTATCGTACATACTCGCGTACGATACGATATGCAATGCAAGGCCATCGTGCGGTGAGGGGTTGAAGAAAGGGGGGAAAAGGGCTGCGGCCAGATCGGTGACGGAATATCCAGACTTATTAACGTCGAATCACTCATATACAGTCCGACACCGTGTTATGGTACCCAATCCTCGCCAGCCGCCCAACGGTGGACACAGTGAATGGGGAATGAAGGAATGAAGGGTGGGGGGTGTGAGGGGGGAAATCCATTTGTTATTACTCTGGTCTTCGTCAGTAATATGATGTCTACAACACCTCCACAAACATCCGCTCCCCTGCTCGAGTATGCGGAATATAGCCAGCTAAGGAGGTATGAAGGAATCTCTTTGTTGGAGCAAACAAACTAACTCGTTATCTAGTCCAATATTCAGTAGGTTAACGCGGTATATGCACACCGAGTATGTCACGCCAGTCACGTGTCAACACTCTCATGCCTCTTGACCGGAGGTGGATAAACGGAGAGGAGTACGGTACTTATTTTGGGTAACCGCGAAGCGGATATCTTCGAGGAGCACAGAAGCGCAAGGAAGAGATGGAAGAGAAGGGGAAAAAAAATATGCCGTAGTGGACGGGTTTCGACATGATGGGGGCCCGGTTTGTTTGCACACACTTTTGGTATTGGGTGGTGGAGTTGCTGGGGTAGTTGGCCATGCTGGTCTTGATAAGGATGGAAATAGTGAATGTCTACCGAAGAGGGCTTATCCGAGGAGGAGACATGTCCTTGGATACGAATGTCGCCCTTAGTCTATCCCGATGGTTTAGATTTGGTGGTCGTGGGGCAGATGTTGACATATTCTCACGACAGACACGGAGGTCCTCGAGAGTGGGTGCTTCCCTCTGGGGCCACCTGGGAATATACTGCCCATCAGAGCTTGGTGAATCGATGCGTTACAAACTCCCCCCTTGGATCGAGTGCCATCCACCCCTTAGATATAACGGTCTACAACACAGTAACCAATCCCCCTCCTCACCTCCAAATCTTCAAAATCCACCTCGCCTAGAACGGGGCCATAATACTACGGGTGGGCGACGTCCGAGTACTATTAATCATCTACGTCGGTGTCTAGAACGATCGCTTGCCTGCCCCGCGCTTCACAACAATAACAACCTCCACATCCCCTCTCGCCACATCCCCTCTCGACCTCCTCTTGCAGGATCCAAACTGTCCGGGCCGCGCACGGGCAAATCTAGATGCGCGTGGAGCGCAAAACGGGCCCCTGTCGGGGTTCTCGCCGGGGGTGAGAGTGGCTAGTCCGCTGCTGGCGTTGTCAGTATCGGAGCTCTTGTTCACGGTCAGTTCGGGAGGACGCTGGAGAAGAGGACTGATGAGGGCGGGGATGATGGAGGAAAGGGATGTCGCGAGTGGGGAGTTTAAGGTTAGGTATCTCAAAATTGACGGGGAGGCTAGTTTGACGAGCATTTCTGTGAAAGCGGAGGAAGCGAGACGGGTTCCGGCTCACCCGGGAATGGGGGGATTAAAGTAGGAAGTGGAGGTCCTCCCTTGGAGAAAAAACTCCCTCCGGCACCTATCGGTATTGCCGATTCTCCCCCTCCGAGAAGTGCCCTTAATCACCTCCCCGCATTTGTGAAATCCCTCTTGCTCAACCATCACACGTACACCTCATCCCTCTCCCCCGACAGCACAACCATAGGGAGATACTCCGTCATCCCACGCACCCCGCTCGGGGTCCTCTTCTGGGGCCTATTCCGGTTCTCCCAGATACTCTTATTACACCTCCTGTCGTAGATGTTCGGAGCTCTCGGCAAGCGATACCCTTATGGTGAAAGAGGGCCTAACTTTGAATAAGTGAATAAGTATAACTTACGATTGTTATATCATAGATGAGATGAGGAACCTCCCTTTTTTCATTCGTTCTTATCATCGGATAAGATTGGCGGCCGGTTGGAGATATATTGCCGCTGCTATTGTTTCGTGGTGTCCGGCGTTAGTTAACCTTCCTCAAACTTGGACCTACCGCGACGTAACTTACAGTACCATATTACCTGGGCGTTGTAGGGATTGGGATGGATGGAATTGAGTTGCATCCGTTCATTCGCAAGGTCACGCGTATGATACTTTGCGATATAATACTCGGGTGCCCAATGGGAAAAAAAATTGACCCTTTTCGATGATCACGAAACGGCGGAACATACCGGGTTGCCTGTGACCGAGGCAAGGTGTCAGAGATTTTAAGAGTCGTCAGATGGAAAGGGTGGAATTGCCCAGTCAGGCCGTTACATGTTCTTTTAAAAATGCTTCCCGTCTTCTCCACGTGGATTTTGTGTTGGTTGGGGTTTCAATGCTGGAAAGGTCGAAATCTGGTAACCATTATGCCGGTGACACGATGAAGGTCCCGTCGATCATGGAGCAGGAAAAAAAAGAAAGGGAAGAAGGAAAAGAAATAAGCGAATATCACCCATCTTGTACTGTACCAAGTAAACTGAATAATTAATTACAACACGGTCGGTCAGTCAGTCATTTTGCGGAGAAACCCATCACCACCATACAATCGCTCGCACGAGAGCAACAAAAACACGAGGCTCCACCAGCAATTGACCACACAATACAATCAATTCACGTACCGTATCTCATAAGGTTAATATAATAATAATAAAACGCAGGTGAAACAAAAATATATCTAAGAAAGAAAGAAGAAATGAGAAATGAGAAATGAGAAAAGAAAAAAAAAAAGTTTGAAAGTCGACACTTCTTTCCTACCTCAACTTCCCATACCGGATCGCAGTGTAATCCGGCGCCGCCACCCTGTGGGGAGAACTCTCTGCAGAATCGCTTCCCTGAAGATTATTTCTCACCCTTAGCGCCGACCAGCTCAGTGGGTTACCCGCACTGGTGGAAAGTGACGACCACAGGATTCGAACCGGGCACCGCTTTCCGTTGGGATGGAAAGGGAAATTGGAGAGGAGATGCGAAAATCTTCTTTCGGGATGGCCATTACAGCCGATAGTGATCAATCGGAAAATCGTTTATAAACCCCACCGATCACCTCCTCTTCCGTTGCGATCGTCCATGAATAAGTTAACCATTGGCAGTTGGGTAGAGTGATCGCGAGATACTTTTTTTCTTCTTCCCATCAGAACAAATCAATGTTGCAATGAAGGGGGGGGGGGGTTGGATCAAAAAAACGATCGAAGGGCTGGAATGCGCTTTTTCGAACCGGGGGGGTTATAAGATAGAACCCCTTCTAACAAAACAATAAACAATGATAAAATTATGACAAAAGAAGCAGAAAATTCCTAAAATATCCCACAAATATCCTTTGGTAGATCCTTGGATAATTTACTCCTCTTTCCTTGCTTCTGAGCAACGAATATTTCCTGCTATTTTTGCTTACTAAGATATTATAGAACCCCCCCCCTTCTATCCCAATTTTCAGAATCCCCGATTCAATCCCCCCCTTCTAACCCCCCGAGTTCGATCACAGAAGGCCTTCTTTGCAACATTGATTGAGATGGAATAATTAGCGGCATTGTTATTGTTTAACTATTGTTTTTTGTTTTCTTTTGTTTCGTTTTTCATGTCTCGCGGAAATTTGCAGGGAGAGAGGTTTCAGGTGAATGCAGTGGAGTGGAAACGCAATTTTAAGTTCGATTTTCTTGAGAGACAGAATCAACTATCATACCGGGAAACCTGTGTGATAGTTCTATTCTCTCCAAATCTACCGTACAAAGCCTTGTGAATAAAAAGAGAAAGCCTATGAAAGCCAAACCCCCTGCCTGACCGAACAATACACGAAAGAAAATCCCCGACCACCCAAACCCAGAAGGAGAATAAATAAAGTGCGAGAAAAGAGATTAATAAAGCCATCCAGCCAGATATGATATAACATGAGAGAGACACCTAATTTTGCCCCCGCCGCTCTTTATATAAGCCCAATCCATGAACAGATAGATAATACCAGAAAGACCCTGATCAAATAAAATATCACAACGGTGCCGTGGATTTGAAAGGTGAAAAACAGAACAAAAAACAAAGATACTCCAACCCAACACCCGATTCCGTTCCCAAACATAAGAAAATGTTGATAGTAAGACAAATAAGGGAAAGGCGAAAATAAACAAAATAATAAAGAGTGTATATAGGTCGGTCGCCCAACTACCATCTACTTTCGTCCTCAAGGTCGAGGAATACCTCCGACCATGAACCGTCCCCCCGAACTTCGACCTCGCTAGAAATCTTCAGCCCCTTCATCATCGGGGGAGGAAGCTCGATCTCAGCCTTCATTCCCACAAGATGCATTTCCTGTAGCGCCTCCAAGACTATGCACTCCGAGCTCGCAGTCCGCCGCCGATTTCTTCTCCGGGGCGGAGTCGAAACTGGCCCGGAAGAAGAATCTGAGACCGACGAAACCAGTTCCGGTGTCATCGAGCCGGCTGATCCAAATTTAGATCCGAGCGACCTCGATGACATCTTGGTTACAAGAGTAAGGTGTTTATGATAACTTCCCTCTCCCTCGCTATCTGAGTCGACACGATCTTCATCGTCACCTTCTCCGTCGGACAGAGGTGATGAGTGCTCAGGGGGGTTGGTGCAAAGCCAGGATATCTGCTTCTTTAATTCGTCGATTCCTGGATAGCCCGTTAAGTCTTCATCATCCTTGATTACAATATCGGCGTCCGCTATCGATCCTAGGCCGATAGACCAACGATTACTCGCCCCACTAAAAGATGTGCGATTACCCCGACAGAAAAATGTATTGATGGAAGATCGACGTGAGGAAGGACTGAGCGAACCTCTCCGTGAAATCGGTTGCTCCTCCCCGACAACCCCCTGATTCTCGACTTCGTCGTTGTTGTCGTCGTCTTCAAGTAAGAAAGATCTCGTGGAGGACGGTGTAGAGGGCCTTTGAGTGTGACTAACAGAAGGGACACCAAGGTATGAGCGGAAAAGGGCAGGGCTTCCCGAAGTTCTGATCGAGGAAGGGGAAATGACTGGAGAAGGAGGGGTTTCCAGTTTAGCACTGGGTTCAATTTTGATGGATGGTCGACGGGGCTGAGGATTGCTCTCCATGATTGGATCCTCGAATGTAATAGATTTCCGTTGGGTTGGGGGAAACCAGGGGCTAGACAAATATACCGGTGTAGGTTCTTCAAAGTAGTTCTGTAATCCCTCCGCACGGGTATTTTTATGGCCAAGCATTGTATTATCGTTGGCGTCCTCATCGCTTTCGCTACCTGGCGAAAGAGTCCGCAGCAGCAATCTCAGACCAATTTGCTCAACTCCTTTCGATCCCTTTATCCGCAATGGTGAATCGGCCAATTCTGAAGGGGATATCTGATGTCTCTGGATGGTATAAGAGGATGGGGGAGGAGGGGGTATTTGAATATTGAGCATGGCGGGTCGACGGTTGGACTTGGCACTTTTTTGTGCTGTGATAGGCTGAATGAACGGAAAGGGGGCATGAAGTGTCGCAAAGGTTAGTGGCTTCTTTAAGCTCATTTCTGCTGGTAATGTTTGCAGAGTTTCTTTATGCGTAGAATCAAAAGATATATCGATCGCTGTACGGCCAAGTGGACCAAGAGGAGTAGGTAATCCGATCCCCATATCCCTCTGGATATCACTCTGTCCACTAAATCCATTCTGTTCATCCCCACAATCTCCCACGCTGATTATTGGCACGACCTTCGCGCTATCCCCAGACAGCGCTATTTCACCCTCGGGCCCCTCGCCATCTTCCACTGGACTGGCTATTGGCGCCTCCTTATAGCGTCTTCTCCTAAAGGAAGACGCAAACGAAGACACTGAGGACCTCTTGGAACCCCAGGACGACATAAATGAAGGACCTTTACTAGAAGGAGACACCTCCCCGTCATCGGGATTTCGAAGCCCCCCCGCGTGGCTTGAAGCCAATGATGACCGGGAACTTGGGCGACTCGGAACCGGTTGTCGAGGGCTGAAGGAAAAATTATGCTTGAAGACCATGGCCACCGTTATTTCTTCTTCTCAACTGGTTGTACCATCAAGGCAATACTGCTGTTTATTGATACACTACCGAGAGACAATTGGCTGGGTGATGTGAGACGTCTAACGGGTGTGACGGATAAATGCAATTAATGTAGAACTGAACTGTCTCTCCAAACAAGACGATCTGTGCTGTCAGGGCGCTGCCGTTGTGGCTTCGGAAATGTTGATGAATTATACAGTTCCAGCGAAAAGAAAACTAGAGGAGGAACCGTGTGAGCAAACATAAACTAGGCTGGCGAAGAGGGGGGGGGTGAAGAGAAGAGAGGTCAACAAGAACGTCACCCCCAACCTTCATATAAAGGCTTACGGTGCTCGAGTAAAGGCATACGGTACATTTTGGCAACAGGCAATACACGGGAAATGCGGTGACAATTTACCGATCCATTGCAAGGGTGTGGTTCCCCAAAGAGCTGGGGTGACGGATATCTAACTATGGATCACGGCCGGGCGCTCGAATAAGACTGGGTGCTGCTCTCTTGGTAAACCTCATTCCCATGCAAATCACGTCCATAACTGGCTTGATTAACGGGTTGGAGAAACCCTCCCCGACCGGAAGCACACAGACTTTCTCTACCTGGCATACTGTATTACCGCAGCCTCTTCCCTCGGCGATCTGTTAGGTCTGAGCTGAGTGCGGTCAGCCCAGTTATTCAGTGGGGGCTGTTGGTGAACCCGGTCAGTGCCAACGCATCTTGAGAAATACCGTACCTTCTATTACTGAAAGGTGATACCTCATAATTTTCTGATGCTCATGCGAAGTCCAAGGTTCTGGTGAGGATTGGATGATGCTAGCGTGGAGTTACAGTAAGGTGAAGGACAACTGCATTCCCTCAGGGGTAACGTATATACTTGTACCTTGTTTGAGTGCCATGGAACCACCGATTGGGGGACCTGTCTGATACTTTCTCTCCTCTCTCCTCTGCTCTGAAATTACTTTTCGTGTACTGTACCCTTTTCCGTACATCTCCTACTTTCGTCAGGCGTTCACATCATATAATACCATGAGGCGTTGGATCTTGTTTAAATTCTTCAGTCCAGCCAGACCGGGGAAAAGTGCGGTTATAGAGCCAACATTGTTTTGGTTCCCTTCTTTTCCCACGCTCCCCCCCGTGTCTCCGACCGAGCCCACACGCACTCACACACCACCCCAACTGCTCTGGTACTGTACTGTACTCGAGTGTCGTTCTCCCTTCTAACACGGAACTGTTAGATAGAATGCATAAAGTGGTACCATAATGCTATTGGTGCACTCCAGATAAACTCGGTTTCTTCAACGCCCCAAATTGAGCGGGCGGGCACCTCTCTCTGGAGAGGACCAACAAGCGTGCATATGTGGGTTAGATTTCGATTCCCAATCGCCTGGCTCGGTGCAATTTCAGTGGTCATTGCACACGCCAAGTTCGCTGGCTGGGTATAGCATGCATTTCAGGCACAACCAGGATCAAGGATCATCGTGCAAATGATTGGAACAGGCGAATGATTGGAGGCACGGGTCAGCATCAGGTTTCTGCGAGCGATCCCCTGTCCAGAAGAAGAATATTACAGTATTTCTTCCTGACAGAGCCTCTCTCTCCTCTTCACTTTGTCTCCCCCCTTCTGGTCCATAAGTCGACAGGCGCCCCATGAAGCACAATTCATTTTATTTATTCATATTTTATTACTATCCTCGAGGCCTCAGTTGCCTATCGCATCCATCCAAGTGATCCAGCCCACTTACTCGCGCTCTCTCTCTAAGGTACTGTACTTGTAACATGAGAAGCGCCAGTTCAGCCAATGCCAGTTGGAAAAGTGCAATCGCAAATAAGGAAATATCCACAATCCTCCAGAAATACTCGTATAGCGGTGCCCAACACTTTCCCCCCCAGAGTCGGGCGTATCAGGAGAATTTTGTCAATCATATACAGGAAACACTGTAACCGCGGAAGATTATGCATCGCATTTAGTGCGATCGTAGGGGTAAGAGGACACGACCGCGTTATGGCCATTTTATTCATTTCATTTGCCTATCATATGATACGGTACTCGAGTAGGTGCCGTAGACAGCACGGCACTCATAGACCAGACCAGGCCAGACTACAGGTACAGTACCCAAACACGTCTAAAGCCTTCCCTCCCCCGAATTACGTGAACCCGGTCATAGCGCTTAACAAAAAACCACTCCAAACACCGGTACTCTATTGTGAACCAACGAACGAACACGAAGATTGCCATCACAAGGGGCACCGCAGCGCTCAAGCAATATCGTATTTCCCCTACCGGAACCCTACCGCAAGGACTGGAATATCAGTTGAACCTCGCGCTAAAGACGTTCAGAATTCCCCCCTTTGGATATTTGGATAAAGGGGGGGGGGGATCGTCCCGGGAAAGAAGCGACTTTCAGCCCTCCGCCGAGACAAATAAGAATAAAAATACGACGGTCCCTACCGGGAGAGGCAACAAATGTTCTAGCGTGAGGTGCAATTATAGCGTTCCAGTTCTCACGGGTACTCCACCTACCGGGGAAGACACTTTGGTGAATTTCACAAAGTTTCACTTTCACGACCGGGTCTCGGTATCCCGGTGCGAATTCCGGTGTGATTTGCTGCGCTGAGCTATCCAGAATGGCCATGCTGGGGTCGGTGGGCTGGTTTTGTCAGACTACCGCGTTACGAAAGGGATATTTTTGTTATTTCTGCCTTTGTTTAATGCTTCGTGGGGTACTGTACCCGTGTATTGTACCGTACAGTACAGTACACAGCATCGTGGCGAAGAACGGTAGCCGACTGATGATTGATAGATTGATCTGGGATGTAGGAACGTGCTGGGTTCAGGTATGATAATAATAATATTATGGCACTTTATTAAGAACAATCCTGGACTGGACAATCTTTAATTCAGTCTGGAATAATAAAAAATAGCCGCGAGTTGGCATGCATGTCAAGGAGGGAGGGAGCATGCAGAACTGAGGTTCCATAATCCGTCACTCTGTTCATGGTATCACAAGTTTATATTCCTTCCGTCGAACTTCATACCACCAGCCACTTCCACTGTTATCCACCCTACCCGCACCCGACCACAGCTCTCTCGGAACTGCAAGTTCCCATCGTGCCGTGATCAAAACCACGATACTACAGTACGAGTACTGTACCACCTCCAACCCATTCGTTCACCCATCCTTAACCTCATCCACTGAAAAAGTGGAGAGCCAAAGGCATGAATAGATTCTCCCAACCAACAGGCCTTGGGTCACGCACGACATGGCAAAGAAAGCCACTCTCCAGCCAAGCGGGTACTTTTACTAGTATTGTACTTGTACTACCCCGTATCTAATCTAACTTAACACAGCATAGCACAGAACCAAGCGTGCCTATCGTACAGTACGAGTAGATTTCCTAAGGGTTATCAAAGCCATACGAAAAGAAAAAAAACCAAAAAAACCAGTTGCGAACCCTATTCCAGAGTATATCTGATTCCTCAGAGCGAACCTCTCAGTACAGCCTATGCGAACTCTGCGGTGCGGGTAGATCGCGCAAGCAATCCCCGAGAAAATTGAAAAAGAAAAAAATGGAGGGAGGAAAAGGAGAAAGAAAAGAAAAGAAAAAAAACCTCCGAGAGCATGGAATCCAATCCCCCTTTCGCAACTTTCTTAAGGGGGGATCCACCACAATGCCAAAGCTTCGCCATGCTGTGCCACCACAGCCCTAAGCATCATCATCATCCTCTCTCTTCACTCTCATACTCGTACTGTACCTCCTCGGCGGCACGGGCACCGATTCTTGTTCTGTTTTACCGCACTTTTGCTTTGTTTCGCGATGTTTTGCTGGTTCATGCTTCCTGTCTTTCGCGCCACCCTCAGGAGACGAGGCGAGATTGGAGGAAGTGTGCGGGTTGTTTTGGATCATGTAAATTATGGCTTCGGGAGTTGAAGATGTTGTGGAAATGCCCCCGGCAAGGGTTGCATGATGCTCAACCCCCCCCTTGGCTTTTACTCGTACCGGTACAGTACAGTACTGTACTATACTCGAGTACGGGTACAGTAACATGAGGCTTCTAGAAGGTTTGGGGACGTAAGCGAGGGAAGGGTCTATTTTTATTCTTATGTAATTCTTATTTTTATTGGTCTTCTTTTTCCGGAAGGAAAGCGGGGAGGGTGAATTTAATGCATTGTTCCCAATTTTTTCCGGGCGTTTGAAACTCGGTTCCCGGTGCAGTGGTTCCTTCCTTCTTCTTTTTTCCCTCTGCATAATATTATTATTGTCAGAATCAAAGCCGTACGCGCGACGTCGGCCCTGGCGCTCTGGCGCTCTCACCTTACTGATTCATCCATTACCAATAGTCAATCAAGGTCACATTACATCACTCGACTTTAAGGCTTTTCTTCTTCGGATACGGTACCCCGAGACTCCCTCTCTCCGAGGGTCCACTTTCGGGAATGAATTCACCGTACCGTATTGTGCGCGCATGAAAGAAAGATAGATAGTGGGTGTTACTGGGCTCGAGCACCGTACCGGTAAGGCTTGCTCGCGCAGGAGGTTGACGGTAATAGTGATCGCGCTTCGCATCCAGATAGATATTTTACGCAGTCTAGATGAGCCCCGGCGCCCTACAAAGCACGTTAATTAATCGACAGATTGCCTCGCCATCCCTTCGACTTAACAGTGAAACGTCGGGGTCGGTGGCTAAGGCTCGTTTGAATATCATGAAATGAAATATACCCCCCTCCCTCTCTACCCAGGGGTCGGTAGATGGGTAGGTAGCGCTTTGGAGCACGGTAGGACTATCTGTAGGTGGGGAAGAGGTGAACGGGGGACATGTAATGTTTCTAAGATCGATTGGCGATTTAGCCTAGTACATTTGAATTAATTTCTAAGCTTAATGTTTTTAATTTTATCGAGACCTTCTTTAGTCAAGTGCTGATTTAACTTTACTATAGACAACTTTCTTTCTGGATAGAGTGCCGATACTGTATTGGACAGTACAGTACTTGTACTCGTACTGGGTTTGAAGCGGACTTAGGGGTTGTGTGTTACGCTACCGGTACTGTACTCGAGTACTCGTACACCCAAAGGTTTGCACGTGTATTGCCCGCGGGAAGGATCTCGCCTTGGTGGTGCGCTGAGGAGATTCTGAGGAGTCGGGATGTTTTGACGGAATCCTCGAAAAGCTTGGCGCTGTATTGGATTTGTCTCCTGTCTCTGATATAGGGCAACGGAAGTCCAGTTGCCGGCGCGATATATGGACTATGACATTGTTATATTGACGAGACAGATGTGCCGTCCTCGAGTAAGGTACCGACACCGTGCCTGTCCAGAACGAACCATTTCTTGACCGACCGGCTGCACCGAGGCTGCACGATCACTGCTTCTTTACTATGTGGCTTGACGCATAACTTAAGTTGCTGTAGGGGATACACTCCCGGCTCCACTCGTGGAATCCGAGACCGCCTTCCGATTATTCCTGCGATACCACTCTCCACCAGGGGGACGTGACGAAACCGGGTGACGAACAAGGAACGGTAACAACTATTCCTTTGTCATCCTGATACTTGGCAAATTCAATTTCCGCTTGCCAAAACACCCCGTGTTCGTCACTCGCTGGTTATTCGTCACGCCCCCCCCCGTGGAGACTGGTATTCCTCAGCCGGACCGATACTCCACGGAGAACGGTAGCGTGCGGTGCCGGCCGAACTCTCCACTGTACTCGTACAAGTGCGCCAGGACGCCGTCAGGTTTGTGTGATGTGGTGCTCCAACTGGAAAAACCTATTCTATTGGGCATCGCTGGCTGGGGTTGCTATTCGAGCGATGCGAGGTTTGAGAGGCTACTGGAGGAATTGAGCTTTGCGTATTGGGTGAGTGGGTGGGGGTGTGGGTGGCATGTCGTTATGATTTGATCTGGGGACCGGGTCACACACGATGCAAAGTCGGCCATGCAAATGACTGACGAGCGAGATTCGCGGGCTGTTGGTTAGGGCTGACGGTGGGTTGAATGGCTGGTGTGGTAAACAGCCTGTCGGTTTGGTCCATGAATTCTTGCTTGCTTACGGTACAGTAGGGCTGTGATGGAGGATCTGGAGGTGTGAGGCAGGCGGTGGTCCTCTTTCTGTACTCGAGTAGAAGGCGGTTGGAGGGAATCGCGGTGCGATGAATCCCTTACGCAATCTCATTTTCAGATATGGTTCCGATCAGATTTGTTTAGAGAGAAGGGGTTATCGCAGCTTAGTCGTAATAGGCTCAGGATTGTGGGGAAACTCCAGCAGTGAGGACGAAACAATTGTGATTACAACGGTGGTTTGATCGATGCTGCCCGCCAGACAGTATACCAGTATCCCAGATTTGACGGCGGTGGATAGAACGTTATCACACTGGTCACTATATCTCGTACGGCGGGACATATCAACATTGTCTGATCCTCCGCATGCACGGTACGACATTCGCACTGCTGTCCACAGAGCAGTACCGTACCCCACAAAGCGCTCTCACTTATGATATCATACTGCACCGTAGCAAGTCTACCATTGGCCAACATCCTTCCCCCACGTGCAATAAGAGAAATTTTTTTCCCAATGGCACAAATTCAATTCCTCATAATATTAGAAATATCCATTCCTAAACCCGAAGGGCGTCCCCATCCTGAAGGATTTTTCACATCACAAATTCATGCGCAGCCTACCACTACTTCTCCCCCCCTCCTTCTCACAGGTGTGGAGGGAACCATGATAGGTGTGTGTGGTGGGGGTCGAATCCCGTTGGGGCAAACAATGTAAACAAACAGCCGTATCATAGACAACGCCTTAATAACGCGTGCTGTCACGTGATTTTCAGGTTTGGAGGTGGTTCATGTGGGCTCACTCGGAATTGGGCTCCCGAGTTCTGGGGCTTTGCTGGATATCGCCATCAAGCTGCGGTGCAGCAGGCTGTGTTGAAGAGACGTCTGCATGCCGTAAGTAGTATGCCATCTATGAGAGTTTCTATGCTTAAGGGACCTGTTTATCCCAGCTGGGGAGCTGTACGGAACGCTGTACTCGAGTACTGGTATGTAGCATAACTAGCGAAGTGGCTGTTAAAACGTGGGAAGAGGCGATATGCAGGCACACCATCACAGAGGTTAAACCGGGGAAGAATCAGAGGATTTTGATCGTGTGTGTGAAATCTGAAGGCGGATGTGTCAAGTATGCCCCTTGCGTTCTGGCATGGCACTTGGTAGGGTTCGGTACCGGTATTCTCCCGCTCGTGAGTCTTGGGGAGTGGGTGGTGATATAGTATTAAACGCTTTATAGAGCGGTCCGACCCGGCGTAGCATCGATTGATTCCATAGCGATGGCGGAAGTTTCAATTGATGTTCAAGTAACCTTGACCCGTTGGCACGGGGATTTGCAGTGCAGTGCGGTGGTGGAGTTGAGGCTCAAATACTATACCGATTTCTCTAAATTGCCTCACTTTTCCTTTTTGCCGATATTGTTTACGAGGGGAGTAGCTTCCTTACAATGGGGTTCAGAGTCTGTTACAATGCCATCACAATAGTAATGATATAGTTATCATAGTATCTTGGCCGTGGCAATTGTATTTCTTATGAGGTGGTGGTGGATTGTGTGGGAGGGTTATTTGTATCTTGGGACCTGGGTCGTGATGTTTACATTTCGTGGCTTACACCTAAGGCCCTGCTCGGCTTGCCACAAAAATCGCAATTTTTCCACTTTAATAGGATTTTTTCTGTGATCTAGATATATTTAAATTGGGCCGTGCTCGGCTTGCCACAAAAATTGTGAATTTTATCAGATGTAAATAGGATATAGGGTTATATGAAAGAGTTTCTACAAAGATAATATACAATTGGAATACTGTAGTAGATACAACTTGAAATTAATTTCATATATGTTATTCTGAGTCCACCAATCTTTATCAAATAATTTCAAGCAATCAGAGAGAGGAAAACTGCAGTTGAGAGGTGAAATTGCTGGTATCATAACAAATAATATAATTATCATACTAGAAAGGTTGTGTCAATTAGGTCAACACCCTATATAAAATAAGTGTTTAGAACTAGGGTAACATAAGAATCTAAAAAATCATAGTTGTTACCGAGCACCAATTTTTTCAAAAAAAATACAATTTTTCTATTTCACAATATATCCTATTTTCAACTTTTATTGTGATTTTTTTAAATTGGTACAAGCCAAGCAGGGCCTTATTTCGTCTTTACGCGTGCCCGGCGCGACAACTCACCAAATTTCTCCCACCAACCAACCTTTCTCACCATCAACAACTTCCTTCTCGCAACCATCAACCTTCGCGACGACAACAACCACGACGACAACTCGAACCGTACTTTTTACAATTCACCCAAGCCAACCACGCCAAAGCTTGTAGTGAGTAATTCTTGGATTATCCTACCGTTACTTTATTTCTCCCTTCCGCTTTCTTTCTATTTTCCTATTTCTCTTGACTAGGTTGCATTTGCAACATTTATTTCGAGATGCCGCGCCGCAAAGCAGTCGCTGCTGTCGAGAAAGACAAAGAGGTCAGAGTCACCAGAACTACTAGAAGCAGGGCCGCACAAGCTGCCCAGCAAGCACCCCCTTCTCCTCCCCCCCCTCCTCCCCCCCCTCCTCCGCCACCACCAGCGCCCCGTGGAAGGACGGCTACAAAATCAGCTAGCAGGAAGAGAAAGTCGAGTGTCTCCTCCGATGAAGATGATGGACTTGCAATTAAGAAGGCGAATACCCGGACCTCCTCTTCGCCAGCTCCACCCGTAAGCAGAGGGAGAAAGGCCGCGATTAAAAATGCCCGTGGTCGTCGTAAGGTTATTGCATCCCCTACGGTTTCTGGTTCTAACGCTTTGGGAGGTGAAGACATGGATGTCGATGAATCGGAAAATGTGGAAGAGCCTCCTGTTGGGGCGGAAGACGAATCCGGCGAACATTTACCAATGGGGGAGGGTCGGGAGAACGTTGAAATTGAGGCCGAGGTGAAGAAGCCGAGGAAAGGTAGAAAAGCACCAGCCAAGAAGCGTGGTGTGCAGAAGAAGGTAGCAGTCCCGGACTCTGGTATCCGTAAAGGGAGGAAACCGGGGCGGAAGTTTGACGGGCCGCAGATTGAAGTTGAACCCGAAATGTCAGCCACCGATGCCGATGACGGAGAAGCCTCTGCTGTCACTTCCAGCATGCATATTGAGCGTAAGACAGACACACCGCCTAGTTCATTCCTGGTCCAAGAAGGTTCCGGTGCAGCAACCGAAGGTGTCAAGGTACCGGTTGAAGAACCAGAGAAGCTTAAGAAAGCACCCGCTAGAAAACGTGGAGCCAAGAAGGTACAGATCCCGCCTGGAAGCTGCCGAAGGGGGCGAAGTGCTGGACTGGAGATTAATAAATCGCAGATGGAAGTTGCAAGTGAGCCAGCTGAGCCAAAGGTCGAGGCGAACGAGGAGACAACAGTTACCAATGTCGAAAAGCCTAAGGCGAAGCGGGGGCGTAAACCGGGTCAGAAAGCGGCTAAGAAGGGTGGGAAGAAGGAACCTGCTGTCAGAGCGGATGCCGGGGAAGATACCTCTATTGAAGAGCGGAATATCGAGGGAGGTAATATCCAGGAAGGTGGTTTGGAAGAAGTAAACCCAGAGGGAACCGTCGCGGAAAACAACGCCATCTTGGGAGCCGGTGTTCAAGTGGAAGAGGGTGTGGAGATCAGGATTGAAGAGGCACCTGCCGATCAAGTATCTGTCGAGGAAACCATCACTAATGCTAACACTGATATCGAAGTAACCAAGGTTGGAGAGGCGAATGTCGAAGAGCCGGGAGCTGACGCAGCAGTGGCCGGGGAAGCTATCGTTGAAAAGAGTGTTGTTAATGTTGCCGCCTCTGACGAAACCGCTTCCCGAGAGCTCGCTGTCGAAAGTACCACTTTCGATAAGGCACCCGAGATCGAAGTACCTATAGTTGAAGAGGAAGCCAAGACTGAAGTAGAGGCTGATGAGGCGGAGGCTCTGGGGTCGAAGGTTGTGCTAGCGGAGACCAAGGATGTGGTAATTGAAGAGTCTGTTGTCGAAGAATCCGCCCTCGAACATGTCGTTCTTGAAGATGCCATCGTTGATAAGTCCATCGAGGTTGAGGCGACCCGGGCCGAAGAAGCGCAGATGGTGGAGACAATGGTTGAGGTCGTTTCTGTTGAAGGGGTCGGCGCTAGGGGCTCGGGTACCGAGAAAGCTATCGTAGAGGATACGACCTTGGGGCCGAAGGCTGTGGAAGCTGAGGTTTGTGAGGCCGTTAAGGAAGAAGTGACTGTTCAACAGCCGACCGGACCTGATGCCGGTAATACAATGGAGGACATGGTTGATGATACCACTGTATCTACAGGTATTTTGGCTGGGCCGACCAACGATGAGACTAATACAACTGCGGGCATCGCAGTAGAGCCCATGGGCGATGACACCGTTGACAGCATCGCCATGGGGGAGATGGAGGGCGATTTCCCTGAGAGTGAGATTCGTGGAGATGAGGAGGGGCAGTTGAGTGCCGAAGGGAGCACTACGAACCCTGTGAAGTCTTCGCCCAGTGTGGCAGATGCTGCAGGTAATGATATCGGGGCTGGGATCGGAGATAGATTCCATGCACTCTCCTCATTGAAGCGTAAGGCCAAGGGAAGGCTCTCCGAGCCTGCTAGGGGAAAGGAAACGGATTTTGCAGAGATGGATGCGAATCACAAGCGGCGGAGTACAGGTGGAGGGCTACCTCTACCAAAGCGCCGGAGAGTGACTCCTCCGCCTATGCAGCCGCCATCTACACCCGCGGCAATCTCACCCTCTCCGCGGAAGGTAGCGTCACCGGGTGCTGAGGGCACACCAAGATCAACTGGTCCTTTAACTACCCCAGTGAAGCCGCTGGGGCCATTTCTAATGCCGCCAACCACACCTGAGGCGGTGGCTGGTATCGGGAGGAGCCCAACTAAGGGATCAGTTCCTCTGAATTTAGTGTGTAAGTCTTACTCCCACTTTCAACGATTGTCTTTTTTTTTCATTTTTTTTTCTGACTAAACGGTTCTAGCGGATGACGATGATGATGGAGCTATGGTGGCTACAACTGAAGGTGCAAGGAGACGGGGTCAAGAGATGGCTCAAAGGCATCTTCAACAATACCAGCGTGTTTTCGAAAAGTTGAGGGCGAACTTTGAGCTTTCGGAGGGTTTCCAGCAATCTTATCAAGGTGTTATGCGACGTGCATTCCCCTCTTCCAGAACTTCTTCCGGGAGGGCGGGATTGTCGCCCTCGCCCCCAGCACTTTTAGCCTTCGAAGGCGGCGGATTCGATGATGGTGATGACTCATTTGATCGTTCCTTTAATAGAGCTATCAGCCCGGACCGATCTTCAATTATATGGGCTTGGGATATTGAACATGAAGGGGCTGGGAGCCAGGAAGCGGAGGGGGGGAATAATGATGCTGATGATGAAGATGAGGCTGGGGAGGTAATAGGCGATCCACTCAATGTGGAGGAGAAGGTATGAGGGGGGGGGGTGCTCTGATCTTAAAAGTTTTTTGATTTTTTCTCTAGTGGCTCTTGAGTTCAATATTCCTAAAGACGGTTTCTCGTTTTTTCCTCTTGTGTTTCCAGCCTGTTCGAGTGACCAACGCTTTTTTTTTCTTCGCTTTTTGAAACCCTGACACTAAGGGACTGGCAATAACGTGTTACATGTACTATAGGCTTCTATTACGGTTATCATGGACGCCTCTCGAGATTCGAATATTTTAGAGCCAACAGAAGTGCAAGAGCTAGTGATGTCAGATAGACCAGCGGAACTCGAGCTAGCCCAAGGATCGGATGGGGCTGAAGAGTCGGAAGAAGTGGCGATGACTTTAGACAGTGATGGAGAGGAAACCGAAGAAGCTGAAAAATATGGTGGAAAAGAAGGGGAAGAAGAGAACGGGGAAAATGGTGACAGTCGTCTTCCGAATGGATTAGAGGGGCCTGGGACAGAGGGTGAGGGCTTCGAGAGTGAGGCTGGGTGTCCTGGGGGGGAAACAGAGGACTCTGGGAAACCGATGGAAACGGAAGTGGATGAAGATGAGGCAGAATTGGACCAGGGGGTGGAGGAACTAGAAGTCCCAACAGAAGTACGGAGCCTGATGAAATCAGAGGAGTCTGTAGGAACCTACAACCAAGTGAAACCATCCAGACTGAGAATACCAGCCACCAAAGCGCTCGGGTTGTCAAAGGCCCCTCGAATTCCTGTACCTGCCTCCCGCGTTGCAACACTTAAGGTGCGAAAGGTCAGTGTGGCTTCGCTGAAAGATGTTCCAATTGGCAAGATGACGCCGCACGAGTTGGCAAGCACAACGAACACCTGCACCGCTAGGAATAAACTCTACTCATGCGACTTCACCCGTAGAGTGGTCCACAAGAACACTCCTCGTCCTCCTTCCCCCAATGCGAAAGCCCAAACACTGAAAGCCTCGCAAGACCGTGCAAGAAGACGAGCGATTCAGGAAGAAACGGGCGTAGTGCTTGGTCCCGGTGATGAAGAGAACTTTGACCCCAACCCTTCCGCAAAGGTAAGGTGGAGCCATCCACTGGAGTCCCAGGTCGACTATGAGGAACGGAGGAGCCCTTCTCAGGTCAAAGGACTACTTCCACGACCTAGTATCCTTAGTCGTAGTGTATGTACTTCCCCTTGTGCTCCTACAGATATCATTTATTAATTGGGTTGGCTAACTAGATTGCTCCGCTCCAGGCACAGTTGAACAACCATGGGAACGTCTTCACACCGCCAACTGAGATTGCGATCGAACGGACGAAAGTTACAATCAACAAGGTTCTGTATCGAGGGGAAAAGAAATAAGTTCGGGAGGGACAAGGCAAAAATCGATCAGAAAATCTTGAAGTCCTCGCACAGGGTATCTTGCTTACGTTGGGCAAGTATACGGAAACCAACATGCGATCAGGATCATTTATGCCAGTTCATCACCTCTCGTCACTCGTCACTCTTTTCGGACTAGCTCAGCTTCCGTTGCACACCTCAAAAGTTCTCACCCATTATCCCATTTACGTTATGCACTGCTTTGCTTTGAAATGCTTCTGTGCGTCTCTAATTAGCATGACACTTTCTCGACTCGACCCTTCGGCACACTTTTGCTTTTTCTGTTTTTAATATTTTTTCAGTGTTTCCCTTCTTTCTCTGGCTTTATCAAGTTCTTGTAGCTGCTATTATTATTACACATTTTGGAGTTTTATATGGCTGGGGTAGTATAGTATATGATGGGGTAGAGAAGGATTGAGTGGGAATAGTGGTTTTTGCTGTGCGGTGTTTTTTTATACCTTTTTTTCTGAATCGACCGGATGGGATGCTGGTATGGTAGACATAGATTGTGAAAGTTATCCTCTCTTCCTTCCTTCCTAAAGAGTATCGTCCTGGTTTTGAATTGAATTGGATTGGCTTGGGAATGATAATTTGAACTTTTTGGGTTTTTCTTTTTCTCTCCCTGATCTATATCGAGTTGTGCTGGTGGGGTGTTGTTATCGGCAGGTTCGAAATTCACGGTACAACAATGACAACTGGCAACTTATTATACGGTGTACAGTACGTTTCGAGCGGCATACAGTACACTCTGCCCGCGAAGGCAGTGTTAACCTGGAACCCGGTTTCGTGGTTGGTTTGTTGGGAGGTGCGCTTGCGCGATACATTGTTTATGTATGATAGAGTAGAGCTAAGAACACCCCATTATCCTGGAGCATTGTTGGCCTGTGCTTTGGATGTTGCGGTGCAGTCGAGGGTGCTGGATTGGCCATACAGTACGAGTACGGTATGTGAAAGAGGGAGGGAAGTGCCTAATCCTGCTGACAAAACGACCCACATCTACGATGTTACTCTTGTAACACTCTAGACGGCGGCACGGTGCTGGGCGCGGTGGTTCACCATTTTTCTTTAGGTGGACTTGCTTCTATTTCTCCATGACGATCTAAGGCACGCTTAACGGATTTCTTCTCCAACCGGAGTACCGATCACCCCCCCCCCCTCCTTCATTCTTTCCATCTATGATATCAGTGATTATCATAGATGGCGGTAGCCCAACCATATCCGTGCTAATGAGACCCCTAACCTAATCCATACTACAATCTAAAATATGAGGTATCAAAACATTACATCGATTGCAATCTAATTAATATCATGTCACACCAAGAAGGGGGAAGAGAAATCACATCCATCCTACTTTCCCCCCCCCCTCCGATTCACCTTGGCGTAGGGCTGTGAGGCGATGTGGCCCCACTAATCCCGCCTCTTCGACCACGATGAGGAACCCCTAGTGTGGGCAGGGACCACAACTTCCTGATATCGTTAAGTTGCTACAGATAATTATGTCCTGACGGTGCGCATTCATGTGCATTGACGCTATGGGCGAATGTGGGGCATTGCGCCGGGTCAAGCTCCTTGATTCCCTAAAAGAAATCCTCGGGGAGTCCGCGGGCACACGAATTTTCTTGACTGGAAGGCCCTATATTCGGTCTGAGATAGAAAGACATCCTATTAGACGAGTGATAAGTGTGTCCATGTGTCGCAGCAAAGATAGTATCATTCGATACCTTGGTGTTAGGCTGAGCGAGGACGTAACTCCCGATGCCATGGATGAGAGCCTGGAAGTGGACATTCTGGAGAAGTTTCCCGATAATATATCGGAAATGTACTTGGGGGCAATGATACTGTAAATCCCACCCAATATTATTATCTGCTATTGGGTAAACCCAGGTTTATACTGGTTTCCTGAAATATTGATGTAATCTTTCAGGAGTGAACAGTATATCGGAGACGAGAGAAGCTTAGCGCCATGATAGATGGATTGGAGCTGGGAGATGCGTATGGTGCGACGATAGAACCCAGAAAGGTGCAGGATGGGGGATAAATCGAGACTCAGGATAGTAGCTTTGATGTGGATCAGTCATGCTGAATGCCCGTTGCAAGCGGACGAGCTCTGCCACGCCCTGGGGGTCGAGCTGGGCTCTACCGACTTCAACGCTAACAACACCCCTTCAATGTCGACACTGGTGGGCTGCTGTCAAGGGATTATTACGGTGGGAAATGATGTGTGAACTGTGATACTATGATTGACCGCGGTGCGAATCAAGCTATCCTTTGTAAATAACTGTACAGTGGTAGACGAGACCCCCGTGGAAAAAAGAATCAAACAGTACAAGGATCCGGAAGTAGTTTATGATACTTCACTGGGCCCCTCCCATGAACGGACAGACCAGTTTGCCCGCCCATTCCCTGTACTCAGACAGAACCTATGATATCGCCCGGCAAAGCGCTTGAAATAGCACATGCGAAGTGGACGGACAGACGGACAGACAGTCCTCCCCCGTACCGGGTTCATGCAGCGGGCATCCCGCACGGCCACTAGCCCCTTCTGTAAATAGCTATAATCAACAAGCTCACAAAACATCACTCGATAGACAAACACCTGTTTTCCAAGTGCACGCCCGGCGAAGGACACAACACCGGATCAGCCGGGCTGACTAAAGCGGGCTCGTTGTTGGACTAACGCAGGAACGTATGGAAAACCCGTCGGATAATACATGATAGGATCCTGAAATGTAGAAGTCTCCACCCCTAGCAGCAAATTGCCAAAGATACTATCTCCGCCAACCCCACTACTGACAGGGCTTGCCCGCACACGAGTATACCACAAACACACCTATACATACGCCCTCCACAGTCCTGAATGGTTGGACGGGCGGTGGAAGAGTTTGGTGGATTCGGGAATGGTGGGGTTGTGGCACCCTTTCATCAACAATCACTCGACCTTTCCAACGACGTACCGACCCATGAACCTGTTGGAAATCATGGATTCTGCTGGGCATTCTTATGGCATTGACCCCTTGCCCCTCCGTCTATCTGTACGTCCGCCTCCCGATCCGTCCATAAATCTATACGGAGAGGAGGTATGGCCACTATACCTCCATACATCCTCGAGTCTGTCCGCCGTTCGTCTGTCCGCCTTTATGCGTCTGTCCGTTTACTGTGGCATATCCGTTCGTTTGTTCAAA